GCTGGCCACTGTGTGAACTGCGCTTGGACGTTCACGATTCTCCAGAGTTGCAGAAAGATTGCGCCAACTGCACAGAGAAAGAAAAGTGGTTGGGCTAAATTACCTTAATACCCTCCGTGTGGTCAATGCGTTTTCTTAAAAAAGACTAAGGATGTGATGTGGCATAAAGAGATTTCAAAATAAAACTGAGAGCTCTGTACAGGGCTTAATTAGTATTGAGATGTGTACATTTTGTGATTTTTAATTTACCTTACTTTGTTGGGACAGTCTAGGGTCAGGTATAGTTGTACATACCTGACATCAAGTAATTCACTTTATTACCATTAGATTGAGTTAAGATTTAATATCAACCATTGATTTTATGTACAAACCATGTACAATGAAAAAAAGAAAGATTTTTGCTTTGTACATGGGTTTGTACGCTTGTACAAGCTAAAAACCTATTTTACCCTTACTATTATTAAAAATTTACATAAATTATAAAATGATATTTTATTTATTTTAAAACCCATATATTTATGTTATTTATATAGCAGTCCTCCATATATAAAAAACTAATCCGATTTGTATTATTAAGATTCATTATACCAATTAAAAACACATTCATCTTTTTTATTTCAAGAATGTGGATTCTCTCATCACGAACAGCATATCCTCTTTCTAATCACAACCCGTCTCCGAACAAAGGAAATGATGCTTGATGTTGTGGAACCACTTGACTACATCTGAATTGGCAAACTCTCACTGATCGAACAATCAAATTAATTCTTGACCGACACATTTTGCAGAAAATTGCGCCTAATCTGAGAATTGACTTCTCCAAAACCCTCACCCGCTACCTCCCCTTGGCCGGTAACCTTATCTTTCACCGGAGCTCCGACATGCCGAAACTATGTTACTCTCAGGGGACTCTGTTCCGGTAACCGTCGCAGAATCAAAAGGGAATCTCGATTTCTGTCGTCTGACCGGAAACCATCCTCAAGACTCCGATCAATTCCATGTATTGGTGTCGGATTTAGCCGACCCGAAATCCAAATCAGGGTCCGACAGAATTCGTGTATTCACCGTACAAGTTTCCTTTTCCCTGTTGAATCGCCATCGATCGAGAAAAAAAAAAAAA